AAAGTGTAAACCCCATGAAATTGCAAAAACTTCCGAGTACCTAGATCTTTGATTAGATTAAAAACATCCGTTGTGAAGAGGTACTGAACTGAATTGAACTGTTTGACTACTAATCTAAGGGGAAATGGATAGACAGGGCAATAAAATCAGCTCTGTGGTTATAGTTTATATACCTCTTAATGTAATAAGTATTTAGTATCTACTTTAAGCTGAGCTAGTAGTAATGCGTGCCTTTTCCAGAGGTGCATGCACATGATTTGTGAACTAACCATCTCTTTGAAGATCTTTTATTCAGTGGAAACATCCAAAACAAGTCAGTGATGATTTTCTGTTTGTTTTAAGCCATCAATGAACAGCAGTGGTCTCTCAAACCTGGCTGCATGTCTCAGAGTTACCTAGGCTCCTATTACGGCTTTTTTTTTTTTTTTTTTTTGAAAGAGAGTCTAGCTCTGTCGCCCAGGCTGTAGTGCAGCGGTACAATCTTGACTCACTGCAACCTATGCCTCCCAGGTTCAAGCAATTCTCCTACCTCAGCCTCCTGAGTAGCTGGGACTACAGGCCTGCCACTCCTGGCTAATTTTTGTATTTTTAGTAGAGATGGGGTTTCACCATGTTGGCCAGGCTAGTCTGGAACTCCTAACCCCAAGTGATTCATTTGCTTTGGCCTCCCAAAGTGCTGGGATTACAGGTGTGAGTGACAGGCCCAGGCAAAAATACTGATTTCCTGACCCCATCTCAGCCCTTTGAAATAAAAATCTCTGGGTCTGGAGCCTGGGAATAGGCATTTCAAAGAGAGACCACAGGGTTCTCTGGCACTGAAGAATTACTAACAGCCTCTGGTTTTTCTTTGAGACTGGGGCTTGTTGGGCCTATTTAGAATAGGTTTTCTTAAAGGTTATATGAATGAATCGTCAAACTTTATGTAACTAAAAGTTGTGTATTTTAAAGGAAAACTATGTAGTCATAGTTTTAGTTGTGATACCTGTCTGTGATGCTGTCTTTAAATTTTAATATACAGTTGTCTCCCTTACTTCTGGGGGATATGCTGCAAGACCAAAAGTAGATGCCTGAAACCATGGATGGTGCCAAACCCTATATATGCTGTTTTTTTTTTTCTATATATATATCTATAATACTTATAAATTAGGCACAGCAAGAGATGAATAATGTCTAATAATAGAACAGCTATTACAATATGCTGTGATAAAAGTTATGTGAATGTCATCTCTTTCTCAAAATATCTTACTGCGTCTTATTTGGTTAACTGAAACTGCAGAAAGTGAAACCAAGGACTACTGTATTATAAAGGAAAACTATTTAGTCATTCTGTCAGAAAACAACATTGTTTCTGATGATGAAAACTCCATTTTAGAAAAATTAGAAGATACAAAAGAAATAAAAGGTTTTCCCTAATTCTATAATTAAGAGATGACCACTAGTTTCTCTGTCATTTTGTATATGAAAGGCATGCACACAAACATATATTTCATAATTGGTATGTTATACGCTCTTTTTTGTTTTTTTTTTTGACACAGGGCCTGTCCCTAATGCCCAGACTGGTGTGCGGTGGTATGATCTCGGCTCACTGCAGCCTCCGCCTCCCAGGTTCAAGTGATCCTCCTTCCTCAGCCTTCCAAGTAGCTGGGACTACAGGCGTGGGCTGCCATGCCCAACTACTTTTTGTACTTCTAGTAGAGAAGGGGTTTCAACATGTTGGCCAGGCTGGTCTCTCAAACTCCTGGCCTTGAGTGATCTGCCTGCCTTGGCCAACTAAAGTGCTGGGATTACAGGTGTGAGCTATCACGCCCAGCCTGTATTTTATATACATTTTTATATCTTTTTCTACTTAACTATTACACTTTTCCATGTAGGTTTTTAAAGCACCATTTTAATGAAAGTGTATGTCCCATTATGTGGATGTATTATAATTAATTAAATCAGACCCCTATCGTTAACATTTGTACTCTTCAATTTTTGGTTATTTTAGCAACATTTGTTTGAATGTCATGGTCTACCTCTCTGATTATTTCCTTCCTTCCTTCCTTCAGGGTCTCACTCTGCCACCCAGGCTGGAGTTCAGTGGTGCAATCTCAGCCCACTGCAACCTCTGCTTCCTGGGTTCAAGCGATTCTCCTGCCTCAGCCTCCCGAGTAGCGCACTGCCATGCCTGGCTAATTTTGGTATTTGTAGTAGAGATGGGGTTTCACCATGTTGGCCAGGCCGGTCTCGAACTCCTGACCTCAGATGATCTGCCCGCCTCGGCCTCCCAAAGTGCTGAGATTACAGGCATGAGCCACCTCGCTTGGTATTGGTTGTTTTCTTAGACTATCTTTCTAAATGATGGAATAAAAAACCTTTCGAATGCATTTTTGAAATCTCATATTCACATATTTTCTTACTACTTTCTTCACCAGGGGGAAAATTAACATATCTGAAAGATCTATATTGCATTCCAGGTCCATTCTCTTATGTCACTGGTTCTGAAATTTTAATGCAGATAAGAATCATTTGGGGAGCTTGTTAAAATTTCATTTTTCTGAGCCCCAGTGGCTGCTGTTCTGACCTATTGGCTTTGGAGTGGGACCCAGGAATCTGCAGTTTTAACACATTCCCTTATGTATTTGATAAAGGCACTCTTGGAACCAGATGTTGAAAAGTGCTTTTTAAGTAAATGGCCAAACAGATTCAAAACATTTAAGTTACTTGTCAAAAGCCATTCATGAATCTGGTAAGAAGAATTTGAACTTAGCTCTTTGTGACTTCAGAGCCCTGCTATACACATGATCTCAGAGCTTTTTAAACCTTTTTAAGAAGATTTAGGGTGAGGTGCCCCTAATAGCTGCAGAAAGTAAGCTTCTACTGACTCCACAGTTGATTTCTTAGGGATAGCTGAAACTAACTTATGAACTAACAATGAACTTCTATTGAAACCTCCCATCAGAAATTTTGGTGAATTCTGTATTATGCTGCATAACATATACTACGTAAAATAACTTTGGTCGTTTCGTTTGGGTGTTGTAGGACCACCTGGCTTCAAATGTGATTTCCACAGCATTTGCCCAGAGGCAGATACACTGTATTCCAGTGTGCTGTGGAGCTCATGCAGTGAGTGGCTTCATGAAGGCAGGGGCAGGCCATACAGGACTTCCTCCCCAAGCCAAGGAGAAGTATCACTTTTAGAAGTAGAGAAGCGGAAGGTAGTGGGTAAAGTGCCATTTATTAAAGGTGAGGTCCCTACCTGTAGAAGAGTGTTGATATTAGTGAAAGGAGCTAGTATCAGGGTGAGCCTTTTAAATTTTTAAAATCCTCCTCAGACGGAATTTTGTAGTCATTTAATTTTATTAATCTTTATTCACTCCCCCCCCCTTTTTTATGTCTCATTCCTTATAGCAAGAGCCTGGAATTATGATGTGTCCTTATGTATTTCAACTAGTATATATCCTAGTCTGTCATTCGTTACTAAATTGAGCACCTGGTATGTGTCACGTTGGTTTGAGGCACTAGGAATACAAAAACAATGATTCTCCTTTAGAATTAAGTTGATTTACTGTCATTTGTTGACTTGGGTTGTATCTAGTCTCTGACTCTTATTTTTAGTTAATTTTAGACTTATAGAGAAGTTGTAAAAATGGTACAGAGAGTTCACCTAGCTTCCCCTAATAATACCCCTTACATAACCATAGTACACTGAAAAATAATATTAACTAAACTACAAACTTTATTTAAAGTTCATCAGTTTTCCTACTAATGTCCTTTTGTTTTCTGTTCCCACTGTATTTTATCAAGGATCCTGCATTTTATTTAGTTTTTCTTTCTCCTTAGCCTCCTCCAGTCTGAAATATTTACTCAGTTTTTCCTTGTTTTTCGTGATTTTGATTCTTTCGAAGAGTACCAGTCAGGTAGATTGTGGAATGAACTTGTCTGATGTTTTCTCGTGCTTCTAATGAAGCTATGTACCATTAGCACGAATACCACACAAGTGATATTATGGTGAGCTGCTGGGTTTCTCCACTACCAAGTTACTGTCTTTCCCTTTGTGGTTAAGAATTATCTTGGGGGAGATACTTTGAGACTATCCTGTTTATCTTCAAATTTTTGCCTGTTTAGCATCCATTGGTGAACCTTGTCTGCAACGGTTCTTACTGCGGTGTTTGCCGAGGGTGATTTTTTTCCCATCTCCCACTTTCTTACTAGTTGGAATTTACTGCAAGAAAAGAGCTGCCCCTTCTCTTCCATTCATTTATTTGTTTAATTATTTTTATCAATATAGACTAGTGGATATTCATTTTATCCTAACTAGTGGTTAAAATACAGTACCATCATTATTTTTTTAATTACTCAAATGCTTCTAGGTTGGGCCATTAGAAGCTCAATCTTTGGGTTTAAATGACTTGTACATGTAAATGGCTGTATCATTTTTATCCCATTCCTTACCCTGCCCAGGGAACCATTGCCCCATTAGGATCTGGCCAGTGATCATTCAGAAGCCTCCTAAAGGAGCTGTGATTGGGATGATGAATACCAGGGCCTAAGGAAGGTGGGACAATGTGTGTGCAAAAGGTAAACTCCCAGGAACGCTGCAGGAGTAAAAAGAGTAGCAAAATAATCTATCTGTCTTCTGGTGCTGCTCCAGGGAGCCCCAAGGCATCAGGATCATGTGCCTGGTACAATATCAAGGGCACTTACATGCAATTTTACATGTCTGCAAAATTACCTGATAGGTTCAGAGACATTGTAATGCCGATTTTGGGGCTCTTAGCTGCTGAATGAACATACCCTTTCTCTTTGGTGCAGATCCTTATAAAGTGATACATGGTGTCCTCCCCACCCACTTTGGTGGAATAAAAATGTGTGCTTAGAGATTCTCCAAGAATGATATGTAGCACTCATGCTGCCTGACTTTTTGTTATAGCTCATCTTCCTTGCCAGATTCAAAAAATTATTATGGAAAATTTCAAGCATACACAAAAGTAGAGAGAAAGAAAATGGGCTCTCAGGTACCTATCACCTATCTTTAAGACTTCTCAGTATTTTACCCATCTTGTTGAATCTCTTCTCCCACTTTGGGCTGGAGTTGTTGGCATATTTGACAGGAAATTGCAGAGAATGAGATCTAGAAAAAGATAGAAATAAACTCTGAGCACAAAGATTAGGCTTTAATTCTCTTTATATCCTATTCCCTTTGCCTGAAAATAGCAGGCACTCAGAAAAGACTGGTTGAATGGAGAAGGGGAAAAGCAAATATGAAAACATGATCATTTTTAACAAACTACAGGGCAGACTTCTAGAAAGGAAAAGAGTGGTAAATCTAGCCCTAAATAACATTTTTCATGTTGCCTGCATTTGTTTTCAGTCAAAGCTGTCCTGCCACTTCAAGACTTAACTGAAAAAGAACATAACTCTGAGACTGTGGTGAGAATTGAGGGTCTCTCAGTTACTTAAATGTTTGTGTAAGAAAATAAATCCGATATAACGGCATTTTCCCAAACACCAGCCAGGAGTCATTTGCCCTAAAAATTACTTTTTTAAAAAAGTCGTCATGTTTTTCTAATTATAAAAATATTATATACTCATTAAAAGAAAAATGGAAATTACAGAGTTAGAAAGTACAAATTATCTCATTCATTCCAGAGATAACATTATCTTGGCTGATACTCTGATAACAGTTGAACATGAATCACATTGGTAATTAGAGCCAATAAATACCTTTGTTCCTGGCTGGGCATGGTGGCTTATGCCTGTAATTCCAGCACTTTGGAAGGCTGAGGCAGGTGTATCATCAGGAGATTGAGACCAGCCTGGCCAACAAGGTGAAACTCCGTCTCTACTAAAAATACAAAAATTAGCTGGGTGTGGTGGTACACGCCTGTAATCCCAGCTACTGGGTAGGCTGAGGCAGGAGAATCACTTGAGCCTGGGACATGGAGGTTACAGTGAGCTGAGATCATGCCACTGCACTCCAACCAGGCCAACAGAGGGAGATTCTGTCTCAAAAACAAAACAAAAACTTGTGTCTTGGAAATGTACCAGGTATACCAGTGTGCTTGGGTACATCATCTTATTAAATTCTTAGAGCAACTTTGTGAGATAAGTATTTTTCATCATTTTCTAGCTGGAGACACACTGAGAGGGGTGGCTTCCAGTCACTTGGCTAGTCTCTCCTGAAAAATAGATGGACAGACAGATGACAGACCCTTCACACTTCAGATGCTTACTCACAGGAGCCAAGGAAACCTTACCGCTGAACTTCCTTATGCTGGCTCTCTGTATGGTTTTGGAGAGAGCACTTAGACTTAGAAAGATAGCTAAGTAATTGTTTTTAATTGGGTCAGCTGTTGTCTCAAAAGCAGGATTAGTAATGAAGGCCTAATAGGTAATTATTAATAATGGTTCCTTGCTTTTAGAATAAATGTTTTATCTTTGAACAAAGCCTGTAGGCTGCAGTTGGGCAATATTAGTTTATGATTATTCAGAGCTGTTTCCTTCTTGGGTCGGTTTTTTTTTTTTTTTTTTTTTTTTAAATTATAGTTGTCCCTCAGTACACAGAAGAAATTGGCCCCAGGAACCCTGTATCTTTCCAAATCTATGTATGCCTAAGTCCTGTAGTCAGCCCTGAGGAACCCATGTATTGGAAAAGTGGCCTTCTGTATACACAGGTTTTGCATCCTGGGAATATTACATTTTTGGTCCACATTTGGTTCAAAAAAAAAATCTGAGTGTAAGTGGAGCCATGCAGTTCAAACCCACGTTATTCAAGATTCAGCTGTATTTTTAGGATGGTTGTAGACTCGCAACCAAACTGAGCAGAAGATACAAAGATTTCCTATGTACCTCCTCCCTTGGGTAGGTTTTAAAATCTCTTCCACCTCTGTAGAATGAGGGAGGTGGATGTGTGGTCTCCAAGGTCTTTTCTGGTTTCAACACTGCAATAATTTTATGGTCATAACTTCTTTCCACTCGGCAATTCTCTCTTTTAGGGGATTCTCTCTCTAAAAATAGAAAAGCAGTGTTCACAGGGCTGAGTGCAGTGGCTCAGGCCTGTGATTCCAGCACTTTGAGAGGCCGAGATGGAGGGATCACTTGAGGCCAGGAGTTCAAGACCAACCTAGCCAACATGGTGAAACCTAGGCTCTCCTAAAAATTCAAAAATTAGCCATTTGTGGTGGTGCATGCCTGCAATGCCAGCTACTTGGGAGGCTGAGGCACTAGAATTGCTCGAACCCAGGAGGTATAGGTTGCAGTGAGCTGAGATTGTGCCACGGTACTCTAGCCTGGCAACAGAGCAAGACCCTGTCTCACAAAATAAAAATAAAAAAGAAAAGCAGTGTTCCCAGTCTGAATTTTCTAAGATCAAGATCTTTATTTTAAAAATTGCCAATCCTGTTGGGTGTGGTGGCTCATGCCTGTAATCCCAGCATTTTGGGAGGCTGAGGCGAGCAGATCACAAGTTCAGGAGTTCAAGACCAGCCTGGCCAACACAGTGAAACCCTGTCTCTACTAAAAATAGAAAAAATTAGCCAGGCATCGTGATGGGTGCCTGTAATCCCAGCTGCTCGGGAGCTTCAGGCAGGAGAATTGCTTGAACCCGGGAGGCAGAGGTTGCAGTGAGCAGAGATTATGCCATTGCATTCCAGCCTGGGTGAGAGTGAGAGACGTCATCTCAAAAAAAAAAAAAATAATAATAATAATAATAATTGTCAATCCTAGCATTGAAGCCTCCTACAATTAAGTCCACTGCAGAGGTTGTCTGATTGGCCCAGGACCTGATGACTTACTGTTACCCGGAGGGAACAGACAGTCCCAAAGAAAAGGAAGGCAAATGTGCGAGAGACGTAGAAGGCCCTCAAAGGAACCTGAATATTCAAGGGTTTGTGTTGGGCCTACCCAGGCACCAAGGGGAGAAAAGAGGAACCATCCATGTGAAGGATGTGGAGCGGACCACCTGGGCTGAGACCGCATGCCAACACTTACTAGTCATGCGGGCTTTGGCCAGGTACTTAATCTCTCCAAACCTTCCTTTCCTTTTCCTACCTGTTTGATGAGGAGGCTAGTAATTCTTACTTCATGTGGTTAAATGAGAGTTAAGTAGGTTAATACAAGTGGTTTTACCCCAGTGCATGGCACAGAGTAAATGCATGCATAAATTGCCCTTTTTATGGGTTATTATTACTGCCTTCGGCCTTGACTTCCTATGATAACCTCACAGGATACTGAACACAGGCCATACTGTTTAATTGCTTTCTGGGTCAAACATTCCCCAAGAACTTAACTTCCCTTTTCATTAATGGCATTGTGTTTAGAGAGAAGTATTTTCTAGGTTTCCTTCAAACCAACCTGCAATTAAATTTTTGGAATTCTATCCTTTAGTAAGTGTGAAACTATCCTGGGAGTTTCTGAGGTAATAGTTGTTTTTTACAATTACTTACTGCCTCTCTATTCGTCATTAAAAAAAAATTCACTTTGTTTTCATTTTAAGAGTACTATATTATAAAATGATATATGTAAAATACATGTAAATATGACACTAATATACAAAAATATATACATAATATAAAACTATAGTTATTAAAAATTCTAAAAAGAGAAAAAGCCATCCCTAGTGAATCCCATTCTCCTAATATTATTATTAACTTTTGAGTGTATTTCTTTCTAGACTTTCCTTATTGTATATCTCTAGTTGTAATCTTTGCACAGATATTGGGTTTGCTTTCTGTTTTTCTTTTTGTCATTTAAGATTTAATCATAAGTGTTTCCATGTGATTATTTAGCATAGAAGATATTTTGGTCTCTATTTTATTCGTTTAATTGAGAATATGTTTGTCTTTGTAGATTATCTGTGCCCTGGCTTTAGCATTTTCTGTGTTTTGAGAACATGTTTAGAATTAGAGGAGAGATGTGTTTTTGGCCACATGGAGAGGATGTATTTAGCAGGTGTTGCTGGCAGCAACCCAGGGATCCTTGTCAAGTAGCACTCACCACTTTAGTGTATTTTCCATGGTTCAGAGTGGGCCCTCAGCTGGGTGGTCTTAACATGATTTTTGTCAGTAATTAAGAGCATAGCCACCTTTTAGGTGTGAATTCATATTATCCCATCTCACACCACTAAAGTATGAAATCAGAGTGGCAGTTGATCAACTGACAGAAATACAGTACACAAAGTGTTGTTTCAGTGTGTTCGCTTGTTTGTAAAGGTGGGATAACACTTCATATAGTAATAAATTAGGTCATCTAAGCCCCGCATATCCCCATTTTACAGATAAGAAAACTGAGGCTTAGTTAAATGACTGGCCCAAGGTTACGTAGCTGTTACGTGGTAGAGCTGTAGTTTCTGTCTCAGTCCAAACTCCTGATCTTAAACACTGTGCAGTAGTTCTGTTATTCATATAGATAGATAATTGACCTTTTGTTAACCTTCTGTTTAGGGATTCTCTTGTGTTTCTTGACAGACTCCCTCCTGGCTGCCATTGCAGTGTACCTGTGCCAGTGCCTCTTGGTTAATGTAGCACTCATTCCCTATTGTCAAGGACCATGCTTTTCTAGCTCTCACAGGGGAGAAGAAATTTTCCCTTATTTTCTCTTTGGGTCAAAATGTGCTTCTGTAACAAGGTTTCACATTTTAAAAATCCTCCCTTAAAGCTGTGCCAGGAAGGGGCAACTGAGGCAGAGAACCATTAGGGCTGTGTCTTAGGCTGTGCCCAGCTAACATCTCAGGGCATTTGCAGACTCCCTTGCCTGTTTGTTCTGTCCAACATCTGGAAATGGCTTCCCTACTTGGGTGACAGACAGCCTGGCCAATAACCTAGAGAGTGCTTCTGTGATGTATTGATGCTTGGAACCTCTAAAACCTCTGGTTTTCGGACCTCTAAACCCTTACTGGGAGACCTACCGTTAGGGTTAGTCAAGATCCATCGGGTATGGGTTTTCAGTTTGTGCCGAAGTGAATTATTTCAGGATAGAATTTCCATTTGAAACAACGTGTCTTTTGTGATTGCCTTTTAGATTGTTGGAGCAGAACTACGAGCAAAAGCAGGCATTATATTTTCAGTTGTCATCAAGTTCGCGATCAGATTGGAAAAGTTCAACTTGAAGCTTTCTTGCCTGCAGCGAAGCAGAGAGATACATATTATTCACATAATAAAAAACATGGGCTTCAACCTGACTTTCCACCTTTCCTACAAGTTCCGATTACTGCTGCTTTTGACTTTGTGCCTGACGGTGGTTGGATGGGCCACCAGTAACTACTTTGTGGGTGCCATTCAAGAGATTCCTCAAGCAAAGAAGTTCATGGCTAGTTTCCATAAGGCCATCATTTTGGGGAAGGGAAAAACTCTGACTAATGAAGCATCCACAAGGAAGACAGAACTTGACAACTGCTCTTCTGTGTCTCCTTACCTCAGTAAGTGCTCCCTTTTTTCTTTTATGTAAGTAGTATGTAAAGTTTTTATTTAAATATAACATGTACTTGCCTGTGTCAAAACATCTCATGTACCTCATAAACGTATACATCTCCTGTGTCACAGAAACTGTAAATTCAAATAAAATAAATGTTACATGTACAGGAAAGTACAAAACTCGGAAGTGTACTGCTTGGTTAAGTTTCAGAAAATGAACATAGTTGTCTAGCCTGTAAATTTAATGTAGATGACAGGGCAATGGATGCAGCAAACCACCATGGCACATGTATACCTATGTAACAAACCTGTACATTCTGCACATGTACCCCAGAATTTGAAGTATGTAAAAAGAAGTTACAAATGCTTCGTGTAGCACAGAAGATAAAAAAAAAAAAAGAAAAAAAGAAATGGTGTCTTGCTGGAACCACAGGAATTCCCATACTTCTTTCATTCACCACTTTGGCTTCCAGATTCTAACTCTACACAGTAGATTTTTCCTGTTTTTGAATCTTACAAGTTGGAAGCATATGTTATATACTCTTGTGTTTGGCTTCTGTTGCTCAACATTATTTTTGTGAGATCTATTCTCATGGCTGCATGTGGCTACGGTTTGTCCATTTTCATTGACGTATAGTAGTCCGTCATATGAACAGACCCACGTTTACTATCCAGCCACAAAAGTCTCAGCACCAGACATTATTAATAGGGTCCAGTCATCTAGGCTGGTGGCCCTGCCCCATGTGCCTCTTGTCCTCCTCCTGAAACTAGTGGGCTAGCTTGTATCAGCAGAGCACAAGAGCTTGAGAGGAGAAATGCAAGCACATTCTAGCCTCCACTGGGGTCACATCTGTTATAATCCTCTGGCCAAAACTATGGAGTCAAGGGACAGAGACTAAGTAAGTTTTTCGACGTGGTCTTTAGTGTTTATTTCTTAAATATGTTGTATATTTTGATTCACCTTTTATGTTTTGCATCTCAGCTTAAACAGTAAATTAGTCTAAGATCAAGGTGCCAGCATGGTCAGTTTCTTGGTGAGGACCCTCTTACTGGGTATGTCGTCACATGGCCTTTCCCTGGTGTGTGTGCCCACACACGTACACACAGAAGGAAAGGGAAAGAGAGAAGGAGAGAGAAAGAGATAGATAGATCTCATTCCTCTTGCTCTTTTTATAAGGGCTTTAATCTCACATGGCAGCTCCACCCCTGTGATGAACTCATCTAAACCTAGTTACTTCCCAAAGGTCCCACAGTGGGGATTAGGGATTCAACATATGAATTTTTGGGGGACACAAACCTTTAGTCTGCACACCCCTTTCCTAGTTGAGTCACAGTCTTGTACCATATTCATATTGGCATGCTGCTTCTCTTTAGTCAGTTACAGAAAAGCCAAAATGTTATTCCTGATTGTGTGTTCCTTCATATATTATACAAGTTGAGATATGAAAATGAGTCAGTAAAATGCAAATATGCCTGATGATTCCCCTTGCTTAAAATGTTCACAATATATTTAAACAGTAAATTCATTCATAAAGAATAGATGGGCAGTGACTCATTACTGGGCAAATACTGGACTAATGGTGATGTGGTTGGTGATGACTTAAAATTGGCCTTTAGTGACCCAAGGAGGGGCAGAACTTGAGAAGATGTTGGGATAGAGGGAGGGGTAGGGAGACTTGATAGAGAGTAAACGGAAGCAGAAACTAGGTTAGGGCATGTAAAAAGTTATGACGACGAGAAGATGAGCCAGGAGACTAGTTTATATCAGACCTGTTGCATGAGGCTCTTTCAGGGTGCAAGAACAGAGTCAGGTTAATGATGGGCATTATGAACAGGCCACACAGGAGACCATCTAAACAGCTACCCCATTATCTCTAGTAGCTCAGTAGCCCAGCATCAGCTCTTACAGTTGTCTTCTGTGTACCTCCATTCCTTACTGTTGGTTTTTAGGGCGTTACTAATTGTTGTGTCTTGCATGCAGACCTTTCAGGCAGGCTCTCGTAGGCCAATTATTCTCTTTGGGTGGCTTGAAGAAGTTGCTAACCTTGCCTCCTGTTGGGCAGAGCACCAAGGTGTTCTTAGACATGTGAGCCTGATCTGAGCAGCCATGGCCAGGTTGGGGGATGGTCACATTAAGCAAGGCATGGCAAATTATGTGCAATGAATTATGCACAGGAAGGGCATATGACTGCTTTGCTCAGAAGGGGATAGTGTACCTTGCAAACATCTTGAGATTTTACAGTCTGACCAGTATATGTGCAATTTAGAAAACAAACCAAAACCAACTTGAGCTGTTTCCTCCTGTGGATGGCTTTGGGCTTTGGTTGGATTGCTTCCAGACACACTGAGCAAATGCTGTGCTCGACTGGAAATGTCTGTTGTGGTGGCAAAATGGGAGAGTTGTTGCCGGGCCACAAGTACCTGTTGCAGCTGGGTTAGGGAGTGAGACTGGTTTCCACTTCTTTTTAGTGCTTTACCTACAGGGAGTCAGGATAGTTCCAGAGTTTAGGGAAGGGGTGGGAGGAGTGCCTTGTCCAGGAGATTGATTCTGTGGAATGCTGTTGATATTTAAGATATTTTCGCCTCCTCCTGGAATTTGGAGAAGGAAAAGAGGATAGACCAAATTTGAAGAGTTACTCTGTCTAGCTCTGACCTTTGCTCTTACCAGGGTTCACCAGGACAGTCTACATATCACTTCTTACAGATGAATCATAGAGGACTTTTGATTGCCCAGCCACAGGGAAATGCCCATATTATATATCCGCCACTTGCTTTTGCAGCCAGTAACCTTAGTCACATTCTCTGGCTATCATCAGGACTAAAAGAGCCTTTACAGTAATCATAATAAAAGCTGATGTTTGTAGCGCCCATTGTGAGCTGGGCGATAGTCTATGCATATTAGCTTGTGTGAACCTCACACCTTTTGAAGTAGTTACTGTTATTGTGTGTGTCCTTTATTCATTGTAGAAGGCCAGAGCAAGCTCATTTTCAAACCAGATCTTACTTTGGAAGAGGTACAGGCAGAAAATCCCAAAGTGTCCAGAGGCCGGTATTGCCCTGAGGAATGTAAAGCTTTGCAGAGGGTCGCCATCCTCATTCCCCACCGGAACAGAGAGAAACACCTGATGTACCTGCTGGAACATCTGCATCCCTTCCTGCAGAGGCAGCAGCTAGATTATGGCATCTACGTCATCCACCAGGTGAGCATGGGGGCAGACCAGGGCCTGACCTTGACCCTCCTCTCTCTGCTGAACTTGGCCATGTGACTGTTTATCTTGGGTAAAAGGAACATCAGACTATCATCAAAAAAGGAGTTCTCTTACCTCATTTATACTTGAAAGGAGTAGAGGAAATTCTTGTCTCAGAGTGTGGAGTTATGGGTTTAAGTTCTGGGAAATTTTACTGCACTTAAAGGAACCTCTGGAGGAAGCCTGTTTTGTGAGCCCTTCCATGTTAGGCAGTGACTGCCTTCAGATTTCCCTGAGGCTTCCTGGTCCCTCGTGTTTCTTTCTGTGCTTGCGGTGCACTACATGATAAGATTCTGGAATTGTCTGTCATTATCGCCCATAGCTACTCAGTGGGGATCTAGACGGAGGATTTGACCGAATATTCTGCATTAGCAGCTGTGGTGCTCTATGGCTGCCCCCACATTTCTGCCCTGAACTTTGCCACCATTTATTACGTGAAACATGTTATGTTTGATTTTCACTTTCTGGATTCACTTATTTGGCTTCCAGAAGCATGATTTGGTAGGAGCATAGTATAACTATAGGCTGCTTTTGAAGAGCTTACCTTTGAGGTGAGTGGAGTGGGTGATTAAAGATACCTCCATTTGTCACTAAAGTTTATTGAAAGAAAACTAAGACATCAGTTTAAACATCAGTGTCTAAGTTTGTCACAATCATCTTGGGCCATCCAAATAATTCCCCCTCAAATTCTTACAAATTCTAAGTTTGTCAGCAAAATCATGACTACTGTTAGAACTGGTAATATTTGTTAAGGTAGAACTTTGGATAACTCAGAGGACCAGCTCTGCAGTATAGACCTGGTGATAAACTGGGGCTCTTGGAAATCAGTGTGCTTATATAGTACACCTATGCCTGGATTTTAGCACTTGGAACAAAATGTTACTATTATATTGTTTTATAGCTATTTTTGTTTTTAAGGTTGTTGGTTATAGGTATGATTTATTTGATTCTGAGTTCTTACTCAGGATAGTAACCCACAAGGTATAGTACTAGTTTTATGAATAGAAAAACATGTCTGCTTTGAGCTGAGTGCAGTGGCTCATGCCTGTAATCCCAGCACACGGGAGGCCAAGGCTGGTGGATCACTTGAGGTCAGGAGTTCAAGACCAGCCTGGCCAGCATGGTAAAACCCCTTCTCTACTAAAAATGCAAAAAAAAAAAAAAAATTTAGCTGGATGTGGTGGCGCATGCCTGTAGGCCTAGCTACTTGGGAGGCTGAGGCAGGAGATTCACTTGAACCCAGGAGGTGGAGGCTGCAGTGAGCCAAGATCACACCACTGCACTCTAGCCTGGGCAACAGGGTGAGATTTCATCTCAAATTTACATAAAAAGAGAAAAATATGTCTGCTTTGTGTTATTCAGGAAGACATTGTGGTAACTTCTGAGAAATGCTTGTACTTTTATGATAAACCACTTAACTGGAATTCATTCTGAAGGAATTTGAACAAAGCAGCCATAAAAAAATAGTGTAAATTATTTTCTTACAGCTTCAATCATATTACAGGTCGAACTGCATTCTTTTATTACCCAGTGACAGATCTGTCTCCCTAAGGCCACTGTGAGGATTAGCCTCCACCATTAGCATTAAAACAGGATTCTCTTACAGGGATTTCTAAGAAATTTTAAAGTAGCTTAGAAATATTAGCCATAACCTTTTCTTTTTATAGGGTCAAGATTTTTTGATCCTTTCTGGCAAGCTATTAACTAAGTCTCTTAGAAGCTTAGTGTAAATTCATAACAGAGGATAAGATTGGGATTAACCTAGGGTTGAACTGTGAAGCAATAATACTAATTGACATGACTAGTATATAAGAAAGGTTTTATAGTTTTACATGGAATAAATAAAAGTGTTTTTAAAATTTTAAGTGAAATTGTTTTTTGTAACTGTGGTAAGAATACTTAAGATTTATACTTTTAACACATTTTAAGTGTACAATACATTGTTATTGATTATTTGAGTTATTTGTATTTTAAAGCTGTGTTTAAAAAATTTTAAATTGTGGTAAAACACAAGACATAAAATTTACCCTTTTAGCCTTTTTTAAACTTTTATTTACTTTTACCATCTTAACCATTGAGTCTACAATTTAGTAATGTTAAGAATATTTCCATGCATTGTATCTGTGCATAATTATTGTATCTGTGCAATATATTGGTTGCATAAATATATGCAGTGTATTTATGAAATCAGTCTCCAGAACTTAATCTTGCAAAACTGGAACTCTCTACCATTGAACAACAACTCTTCAGATTTCAATTAATGTTTCTTAGTTCTGGAATATAAGTATGTGTGAAGCATAAAGAAGAAACCAAATGGTATTTTATTGTCATTGCATCTTCCCTGTTAGATGTTTATGTCACAAGTATAGTCTTGGTGTTAGCAAGAATAATACCACCTCCTGAATCCTAACTAAGAGGGAAACACTATGAAATTTTATCTCAGGAGCTTCTCAAGTTTTAATTTTCGTATCTCTAGGCTGGAGGTAAAAAGTTTAATCGAGCCAAACTCTTGAATGTGGGCTATCTAGAAGCTCTCAAGGAAGAAAACTGGGACTGCTTTATATTCCATGACGTGGACTTGATACCCGAGAATGACTTCAATCTTTACAAGTGTGAGGACAATCCCAGGCATCTGGTAGTTGGCAGGAACAGCACTGGGTACAGGTAAGGTGGCTCTGCTGAGGGTGGCTTAGGTTGAGAAGCTCAACTGTTGTGATCAAGACTGGGTAGAAAAAGCATTCAGAGTACCTTAAGAAAATGAGAAATAGGAAAAATTGTCTATGATATATGTATCACTTAAAGTGCAAACCAGAAGTTAGAGATTGTAATGAGGAAAAAACCCTACAACAACTTTGGCAGAGGATCACAAAGACAAGGGAAAGCATTGGAGAAAAATGTCATCCAAGCATTGCAGGCGGTGGCCAGTCCAACCCCCAGTGCCCCTGTTGGGGGGCTTTTGCAAGCTTTCCCACACTGACTTGAATGCAAGTAATGTTATTTGTCTATTCCCGACTCCCCCTCTAGGAGGCGACAAGTGAGACCTCTGTTGAGACGTCCCTTTAAGTGAGGCCTCTGTTGAGACATCCCTTTCCAGACTGCAGCCTCTTTCTAGAGTATGGGGAGAGGTGGGGGAGGACATAGTCTCTGAGTAGTCTTCGTGGGAGCCAGCACACCCAGGACAAAGCCATTTCTCTCAAAGTCACTGTGAGAAGTGCCAGATGCTACCATCTGTGTCTTCATTCCTCATCTCCTTTACCCCTAAGAAGGGCATAGCTGCTTTTCAGCCTTATTTGATTATACCAGCTCCTACTCAAGCACAGCCAAGGGGAGATAGTGACCCAGACTGTTTCTCTGCAAATGAAACACTATATTCCCTCATGTGTGCACACTTACCTATCAGCTTCCCCAGGCCCTGCCGTTCATGAGTGCTCATATCTGTGGCACTCACTGTGTTGGAAGCCATGAGACTAATTTGAATAAGGCAGAGCGCCTGCCCTCAGAGAGCTCCCCATTGAGTTTCAGTGTGGAGAGACAGGTAGCTACAGTGGAGTTGTGTTAATTTTGTGTTTCTGCAAATACAACTGTAAGCACTTGGTAAGGAGGGGAGAGAGGGACAAATAAAGAGAGGAAGAGGAAGGCAGCAGGAGCGAGAGAACTGTGAAACTGTCAAATAATACAGGAGATTCCACCAGCATATACTCTATGTGAGTGTGAAGTAGAAAGTGAGTCCCTTGATACCTCCTTTGTTCTGGGCTTCCATGCTGCTCTCTCATACTGTGCGATTTAAGAGAATTCTTGAGTAGCATCGATGTAGGTGACTCTTGCCTCAGGTACTGACTTAAAACCCAATCCCGACGTAAGCTGCAGGACATAAACAAACTACTGGTGGGTGAGAGCACAGTGTCGTTAAGAACACCTTAAAGGGAAGGATTTAAAGCTGTTCCCCAGGGAAGGTGGTACCTTAATCCTGTGGAATCAACAAGAGCTTCTCAGCAGAGTTCCAAGACATGCCAGAGAGCACAGCACAGTTTTGGGAAGAATGCAGGTAGTTCACGGGCATTCTAGAAGGAATGTCTGCGAGGAGAGGCAAGAACTGAGGCTAGGCAGGGGCCAGATTATGCAGGCCTTGCTTAGTTCAGTAAGGAGTTTGGATTTGCTGTGGCAGGGGTTGGGGAGCTGTTGACACATGTTAGAGCGGAGGAAGGATGGGAGAAAGCTTAGTTCAGCTGATCTTGGCTGTATTGGATGGAGCAAAGGAAGATGGGAAAAGCTGAGAGGAGGGATGCCACATGTCTGAGTTAGGCTGCAGAGGGCGAGGGGAGAATCCCAGGGTTTTTCTCTTCGGGGAAACTTGATCTTTGGATCTAATCTTCTTATCTAGAGGTTTTGTTTTCTGGTTTCTTTGAGTCACTTCTGCATTGAGGGAAGCAATGTATCATGGCTGGGCAACTTGGTTTTCCCAAAAGCATGTCACTATCTGTTCACTTATTCTGTAGTAAGACGTCACTATTTACAACACAGAACACCTGTATTTTAGGCACTTGCCATAGATGATAATCTTAAACTTCCCATTGCCCAGATTTTTTTAAACACCTGGTTGCCCGGTTCATTTCTAAGCAATCACAGAGGATTGCTTACGGACAGGTTTTTTTTTGCTGGGATTCTAGATTTTATCTTTGTATTAGGCTGAACCATAAGAAGGCTGAGCTCTTGGACATTCCTGCTGGGAATTGATTTTTCACTCATGCTTTGGTGTCACAATTGTGGATTTCACCAGATGCTCCTCACTCTGAGAAACGGCGCACGTATGAATCTTACTGTTTTTAACTTGCCATTCTAACTGGCCAGATGTTTCCTTTATAACTAGGTATCAGAAAGCCTTTGATGAGTAACTGACAGGTTTTCTTAATATGATTCGGTAATTGAATGTGTTTCCCCTTTTGATCAAGAGGCTCTGAGCCAAATCCATGGTGCTCTTTTAGAAACGGAAAAGCATCTTACTTGCAGATCAGAGTTCTAATGTAGTTCCCATCTTAATTTTCTATGTGATTTAAATGTTTCTCAGGTCCTGGTTTGTCATTTATGTTTTTCTTTTTTGTGTGTGTATCATGTAAGCAACCTCATCTTTTGTGTCTGGAGAGTGGTATGTGTAAGTAACGTAGGTATGAGTTACCCTCCTGGACTACTTGTTTTGTTGCTTTGGGCAAAGACCCTGTGGTGGGAGAGCTCATTTCCAGGCAGCTGCATTTCCAGGCGGCGGAGTGTCTG